TATTGGTTCCCCAGCTGTCTGGGTCCCCGAGACTAGGAATGGCGCAGGGCCCAAACTAGGAGTATAGAACGGCGGGGGAGGGGATGGAAGGGTGAATATTGCTTAGGTACCGGCGGCGCGGAGAGCTGCGCTATAGACTTACCCCAAGAGCTATACTTCTTTTTTTATTGGACAGGGTCTCCCTATAGCCCCAGCTGCCCTGGATCTTGCTATGTAGAGCAGGTTGGCCTTGATCTCACAGAGCTCTTCCTGCCTCTGCCTTCTGAATGCTGGGATTAAAGGTATATGCCACCATACCCCGCCGGGAGTCCCGGCGGCGCGGAGAGCTGCGCTATAGACTTACCCCAAGAGCTATACTTCTTTTTTTATTGGACAGGGTCTCCCTATAGCCCCAGCTGCCCTGGATCTTGCTATGTAGAGCAGGTTGGCCTTGATCTCACAGAGCTCTTCCTGCCTCTGCCTTCTGAATGCTGGGATTAAAGGTATATGCCACCATACCCCGCAACAACTTATCTCTTAACCAAAGTAGGAAAAGGGGCGGGGGGACAGAAAAATAAAGAAGGGAAGAAGGAAAACAACAGGAAAGAAAACTAAAGATAATCAAGATGGTGTTTCAAGGGTATTTAAGGATCACTGTACCATAATTTACTAAACTTTGTACTTAAGGTTTATATACTTTCTATATGTATACATTATTCTTCAATAAAACATGTATTTAATTTTTTCTCTATAGAAATCATGCCCAAATTCAAACAACGAAGAAGAAAGCTAAAAGCCAAAGCCAAAAGATTTAAAAAGAAAGAAGCCTCTCGATTACAGTCTAAGCTGTTAGCACCTTCCCCTCCACCACCCACACCAGAAAGGTAAGATAGAATGAAGAATACAGAAAATGTGAGATTATCAGGGTCTGGGTAGCTTCAGCAAGTGAAAATATAGAAAATGCAGCCAAATTTTATTTCATCCACACACAGTAAGTAATTATTATTATTTTTTTGGGGTCTTTTTGAGACAGGCTCTCCCTGTAGCCCCAGCTTTCCTGGAACTCGCTATGGAGACCAGGCTGACCTCAAACAGAGATCCACCTGCCTCTGCCTCCAAGTGCTGGGATTAAAAGCGTGTGCCACCATGCTGGCTTATATTGAGTAATTTTTACCCTAAGTATGTTCGCATGTCACACTTGGAATGCACTTGTACTAAAATTATTGCTGGAAATGGTAGCTCATTGCCTATAATCCCATCACTTTGGAGGCAGAGGCAGGCAGATTTCTGTGAGTTCAAGGCCAGCCTGGTCTACATAGTGAGTTCCAGGATAGGTAGGGCTACAGGGAGACCCTGTCTCAAAAAAAAAAGTATTTTTTTAAAAGAAAAATAAAAAATAAATGAATAAGTTAAGAGCTGGAGATATGGCTCAGCACTTAAGAGCACTGGCTGCTCTTGTAGAGGACCTATATTCAGTTCCCATCACCTACATGGTAGCTATCAATCATTTATAACTCCAGTTCCAAGGGATCTGACACCCTCTTCTGGCCTCCAGAGATATTCCATGCACATAGTGCACATACATACATGCACTCATAAAAATAATAAAAATAAATAAATCAAAAACATTAAAAATAAGCTAATTAAATCATTAATTAAAGTTTTAAACAGACACCTGAATTTTACATGACACAGTTTTTCATGAGGGCCAGAGAGATGGCTCAATGGTTAAGAGAACTTACTGCTCTTTAGAGGACCCAAGTTTGATTCCCTGCTCCCACATCAGGCAGCTCACAACTGCCTATAAATGCAGCTTGAGAGGATGCAATACCCTTTTCTGGCCTCCTTGGGCATGTGCACACACACACACACACATTCAATACCCTCTTCTGGTCACCTGTACACAGACGTGCACACACACACACACAAAATAAATTTTTATATTAACTACTTTTTGGTTGCTGTGATAAAATACCATGCTCAAAGGCAATTTCTAGAAGAAAACATTTATTTTGTCTTAAAATTCCAAAGGAAGAATCAAGACAAGTCCTGGATACAGGAATAGGAAGCTAGCTGATCATGTCTTTATCTGTACACAGGAAACAGAGAGCAGGAAGTGGGCTAGGCTATAGAATCTCAAAGCCCATTACCAATGATGTACTTCTCTAGCAATGCTGTGCCTCCTAAAGGTTCCATAACCTCCCCAAATAGTGCTACCAACTGGGTTTCAGACTGGCCTTGAACTCACTGAGATTCACCTGGCTCTGCCTCCTGGGATTAAAGGCATATGCCACCACAGCTGACCAAGACCTAAGTAGGGGTTTTTATTTGTTTTGTTTGATGTTTTTCCTACAGAGTGATTACTTCTTCAATAGATAAACCCCAAAGCAGAAACTGGCTAAGACCATCCTGGAACTTCAAATTTCCCAACATCAAAGATACAATAAACCTTTGGACAAATAGAGCATGCTGTGTATATAGTTGGTGTCAGAACTGCGTAGCCCAGGTATGGGTTTTACAGACCTATCCTCAGCAATGGAACTTGTTTGTTTATTGTGGAGATTTTTTTTTATTTTGGTGAGGGTTTGGTTTTGTTTTGTTTTGCCATGCCACACTTTGTATTCATGTATGCTTGCTCAGCTTGGCAGATCCCTCAGGCTAAGCTTGGAGAACACTAATTTGTGGCATTATATCTGCCTTTGCTTCCATAAGTCATGTATCAAACCACATTCTGTTTCCTTCTCTTCATTATATCGCTCATCAGATTCAGGCTTATTTATTTATGAATTTCAGAGTTTAGAATTATTGAAAGATGCCATCTTCCCATCCCGAGTCTACCATCGAGAACTTCTCAGTATAAAACAACAGCTTGGTATTTTGAAAAGTGAATTATGCAAGCTCCAAGAAACACTGAAGGTTGGTATTGACAAACAAAAACACAGATTTTTATCTGAAAAGATTATTTCAATAGAAAATACTTTGGACAGGAGCACTGGAGTTATCTCAGACATCAGGCAGTGTTTGTTGAGGTCTTATAACAAAGGAACAAGGCAAAAAAATGTATATTGGGTAAGGTCGGGTGGGGACTGAAGAGCTGGCTCAATAGTTAAAAGAGCATACTACTCTTTTGTTGTTTGTTTTGAGATAGAGTCTCAACTTTGTAGCCCTGGCTGACCTGGAACTTACTATGTAGACCATACTGGCCTCAGACTCATACAGATTGACCTGCCTCTGCCTGCCTCCCAAGTGTTGGGTTTAAAGGTGTGTGCCATCATGCCCAGGGAGAGTGTACTGCTTTAGAAGAGGACCCAAGTTCGATTCCTAGCAACCATATCAGATAGCTCACAACTCCCTGTAACTCTAGCTCCAGGGGATCCAACACCTCTGGCCTTTGCAGGCACCCATACTGAACATGCACACACACACACACACACACACACACACACACACACACCATTTAAAATAAAACAAATATTTTTTAAAATAACTATTGGGAGCCACACAAACAGAAAAGAAGTACAAAATGAATTTCAGTGAGTTAACGCTGAACTTATCAGATTGACAAAATATTTGGAGAAATGGGTGTTTTCTAACATTATTTAGAAGAGAATAAATTGGTGAAACTTCTATGGACTATGGTGAGGTAACGGTTCTAAAGTTTTTCAGCTGAGGCCTAGCTAGATATGGACTCAGTTGGTAGAGTGCTGTTTAGTATGCATGAACCCCTGGGTTCTATTCTCAAGTACTGCATAAACCAGTACATGACTATAATCCTAGCACTTAGGAGATAGAGGCTAGAGGGCTGGAAGTTCAAGGTCAGCTACATAGGGAGTTTGAGGTTTCCCTGGGATACATGAGACCCTGTCTCAAAAAAGACATTTCTTTATTTCTTTATTTTGTAAATATTTTATTATTGTGTGTGTGTGTGTTTGAGACAGGGTCTCCTTGTAGCCCCAGCTATCCTGGAACTCACTATGTAGACAGGCTGGCCTCGAACTCACAAAGATCCACCTGCCTTTGCCTCCCAAGTGCTGGGATTAAAGGTGTGCGCCACCACGCCCAGCCTAATATTTTATTATTTTTATTTTATGTGTATGAGTGTATTGCTTGCATGTAGGTAGATGCACAAATGTCATGCAGTGCCCACAGAGGCCAAAAGAGGGTATCAGATACCCTGGAACTGGGATTCAGTTGGGTAGCTTGGGTCGGGGATAGGAAGGAACTTCCTCTTTCACTATCTACTATTTGGCACCATCAGAGCTATATGCTTTGTATTTATGTTATTCAAAAACTAACAATATAATTTTTAAAGATAAAATGAAACAGACTAGATCTTGGTGAGGCATACTTGTAATACCATTACTTGGAAAGTAGAGACAGAAAGATCTGAATTTCAAGGTCATCCTTGGCTACATTACAAGTTTGAGGGCAGCCTGGGCCACATGAGACCCTGTCTCAAGAAACAGAGAGAGGGGCTAGAGAGATGACTCAGTGGTTAAGCATACATACTACTCTTACAGAGAACCTGAGTTTGGGTCCCAGCACCCACAATGGGTCCTCATAATTGCCTGTAACTCCAGTTCCAGGGGATCTGACACCCTCTTCTGGCCTCCACAAGTATTTATACTCATGAATATGCATATACCACATGCAGACACACACATATACACATAATTTAAAATAAACCTTTACAAAAAAGAGAGGAGGAGGAAAAAGGAGGGAGAGTAGGGAGGGGAATGAAAGAAATGAGAGCAAAGGAGAAAATTCATTGAATCAATTGAGATTTTTATTCTAGAAATAAAGTTGTAATTACTAGGAGAGGAGTAAAATTTATTCGACCAGCTCAGATTTTTATTTTAGAAATAAATTGTTGGGGCTGGAGAGATGGCTCAATGGTTAAGAGCACTGACTGCTCTTGCAGAGGACACGGGTTCAAATCCCAGCACCCACATGGCAGCTATGCACCGTCCTTAACTCCAGTTCCAGGGAAATCCAAAGCCCTCTTCTGACCTCCATGGCAATGCAGGATATGGGTGTACTCACTTACATGCAGAGAATATACTCATACACATAAAATAAAAATAATAAATAAAATATTTAAATAAATAAATAAATTGTTGTTATTATCAAGAATGGTGGCCTGACAGGTGTGGTGGCACACGCCTTTAATCCCAGCACTTGGGAGGCAGAGGCAGGTGGATCCTCTGTGAGTTCGAGGCCAGCCTGGAATACAGAGTTCCAGGCAGCTGGAGCTACAGGGAGACCCTGTCTCAAAAAGACCAAAAAAAAAAAAAAAACGGGTGTGGTAGCACATGCCTTTAATCCCAGCACTTGGGAGGCAAAGGCAGGCAGATCTCTCTGAGTTCAAGGCCAGCCTGGTCTACATAGTGAGTTCCAGGACAGCTGGGGCTACAGGGAGACCCTGTCTCAAAAAGACCCCCCCCAAAAAAAAAGAATGGTGGCCCATGCCTGCAATCTGATCATTGAGAAGACCAAGGAAAGAGATTGGCTTAAGTTTGAGGTCAGCCTGGGCTACAGAGTGAGACCCTGTCTCAAAAAACAAGCAAATATACACCACCATATTACCCAGTTGTTCATTTAGCAAATGTGCTATGTTCTTCCAGACTGTCTCTGAAAATTCTTGTTCAAGCTGTTGTCAAACTTGTCGCCCAAGTGGTAAACTTACAAATGTGCCTGCCTGTGGTCCAACCACCCTTGGAGAATCCCAAACTGTACTTCCTCCCACACTGCCAGAGCCTGCTAGTCTTCCACCTCTACCACCTCCGCCTCCACCCCCTCCACCTCCTCCCCTGCCTCCGCCTCCACCACCACAAGCACCTTTGCTGCTCAGAAAATCTGGTTCCACTAAAATATTTCAGGTAAGAAATAATCAGTGATGATGTGTATTAGTCAGAGTGTGATATAGGAATAAAGCCATACCGCCTTTGCTCCTTCTGTTTCAGCCTCTTGAGTAGTAGGTATATATCACCGACCCAAGCTGATTTTTAAGGTTTTGTTGTTCTTTTGTTTTGTTTGTTGGCAGTTTTTATTTGTTTTCTGGGACAGGGTCTTGATATATATATTGCTGATTAGCCTGAAGCTCACAATGTAATATAAGATAGCCTTTAACTTATGATCCTCCTGCTTCAACTCTCTAAGGGCTTGGATTGTAGTAATACCAGCACACCTTGTTCCAATATTGTATTTTTTGAAAACTATCACCCAAGGCCGGAGCACATATCTAACAGAGCATTTGAGAGGTGGAAGCAGGAGGATCAGAAGTTCAAGACCATCCTTGGCCTCTCCAGGCTACTATCTCAAAACAAATAAGGAAACAAGGTTCTCTGATTATATATATTCTCTCTCTTTCTCTCTCTCAGTTCATTCTTGCTTGCTCAGAAGGATTTGATGAATCCTTAGAGTAAATAAGAGTTAACTTCAGATAGATGTGGTTGTACATTCCTATACCCCTCTTGGAAGCTGAGGCAAGAGTCTGAGGCCAATGTGAGCAATACCCTGTCTCAAAAATAGTGGGGAGGGTGCCCAGTGTGATGGTGTATGCTTTTAATCCAAGCACTCAGGAGGCAGAGGCAGAGAGATGGAAGCCAGCCTAGTCTACATAGCGAGTTCTAGGCCAGCTGGGGGCTACAGGGAGACCCTGTCTCAAAAAACAAACAAAAAAGTAATGGGGAGAGAGCAAAAAAATAAGCAACTTTTAAAGATTTTTTATTATTTTTAATTATGTATATGTGTGAGAATATGTACAGGTGCCCACAGAGGCCAGAAGCATCAGGTCCCCCTCGAGCTGGAGTTACAGGTGGTTGAATTACTCAACATGGGTTCTGGGAAACAAACCCAGGTCCTCTGGAAGGGCAGTACGTGCTCTTAACCACTGAACCATCTCTTTAGCCCCCAAGTTAACTTTTAACCCTGTATCTTTAAAAACTGGACTTGGATTTGAATTTCACTACATGTCCTGATCCCAATTTAAATTCTAACCTCTTCATGTATTTTAAGGCTATACCATTAAAAAAAGATGGACCCATGCATATAACAGTTAAAGATCTACTAACTGTGAAATTAAAGAAGACACAGAGTATTGAAGAAAGGAGGAAGGTAAGATGTCAGTGACCAGAAAACACACAGTTTTCTTCCATTTGGGGCACATAGGATATTTTGTGTGTGTGTCTGTGTCTGTATGTGTGTGTAAATGCATGTGTAGAGACCAGAGGTTGACATTGGATGTCTTCGTCTATCACTCTCCACTTTATTTGATATGGTCTCTTAGTGAACCTGGAGCTCACTGGTTCAGCTAGACAGGTTGACCAGCAAGCCCAGGGAGCCTCCTAACTGCCTCCTCAATGGCAGGATAATAGATATGTACCACCACCCCCGGCTTTTTATAAAGGTGCTGGGGATCTAAACTCAGGTTCTCAGGCTTGTGCAATAAACAGTTTACCAATTAAGCCTTTTCTTCAGCCCTTGGGTGTGTTTTTCTGAGATAGGATCCAGCTATTTAACCCAGACTGACTTCAAAATTTTGGGGATTTTTTGGTCTTTAGCCTCAGCTGGCCTGGAACTCACTAGGTAGACCAGGCTGGCCTTGAACTCACAGAGATCTGCCTGTTTCTACCCCTGGGATGTTGGGAATACTGGCTTGACTTCAGAGTTTTTGATACCCTATACCTAAACTTCTCAAGTATCAGAAAGACACCATTCCATGCCTGGCATTTTATTTTTTAACCAGGTTGTTCCTTTATAGAAAATAAGATAGGCCTTACATCTAGAAGTCATTCTGTTGGGGCTGGATATATAGCTTAGTGATAGAGCATTTGCCTAATATGTACCAGGCTCTATTGCTACAAAAATAAAAAATAGGCTGGGGAGATGGCTCAATTAATAAAGTGTTTGCAACACAAGCATAAGGAACTGAGTTCAGATACCCAGAACCCCTGTAAAAAAAAAAAAAAAGCAGACCCACCCATAATCCTAATATTGAGTAGATGGAGACATGTGGATCCTCAAAACTCACTGACCAGCTGCTCTATCTAACTGGTGAGCTCCAAATTCAGTGAGAGACATTGTCTGAAAAATATAGTTGAAGCTGGGTATGGTGGTACACACCTTTAATCCCAGCACTCTGGAGGCAGAGGCAGATGGGAGCTCTGAGTTTGAGGCCAGCCTGGTCTACATAGTAAGTTCCAGACCAGTCAGGTTACATAGTGAGACCCTGTCTCAAAAAAGGAAAAAAGTGGAATAGAAAATGACTGATAAAGATACCTGACATCAACCTCTGGCCCCCACATGCACCTGCATGCACACATTCACACACACACACACACACACACACACCTCACATTTAACCTGGGCACAGTGTGCACACTTGTGATCCCATTCCTTGGGAGGTGATGGCAGAGGATCAGGAGTTCAAGGTCATCCTTGGCTACATAGGGTGTCAAGAGATCATCTTGGGCTACATGAGACCCTGTTCCCCTCTAAAAAAGAAGTCATTCTGTTGGATATGGTGGCTCATGCCTGTAATCCCAGCATTCAAAAGATTAAGAAAGGAGGATTGCCATGAGTTCTAGGCCAGCATGGACTACAGTGAGACCCTGTCTCAACAAAAGATAAATAAAAATAGTTATTCTAAGTTAAATATTTTATGTTTTATTATACTGCTTTTATGTTGCCTCAACAAAATGTGTTGATCCCAAAAATGTTTAATTAGAGAATTTTATCTTCCAACCCTTAGTCTGAAGTGATGGAGACACCTGTAATCTCAGCATTTGGGAGGTGCAGGTAGGAAGATTTCTATGAGTTCCAGGCCACCCTGGGCTATATCATACTAAGTTCCATGCCAGTCTAGTCTATCTAGTAAGATTCTATCTCATAAAATCTGAGGAGGAAGGGGAAGACAGAAAAAGAACTTTTGAACCTTTGGAATAAAAATTGAGTTGAGCCAGGCGTGGTAGCTCATGTCTTTAATCTCAGCACTCAAGAGGCAGAAGAAGGTGGATCTTTGAGACCAGCCTGGTCTACATAGTGAGTTCCAGTCTAGCTAGTGCTACAGGGAGAGCCCATCTCAAAAAGAACCAAAAAAAAAGTAGAAAAAAAATGAGTCATGGAACTGTCTTACATTCAGCACTCAGGTATTTGCTATTTCAACCTGGCCTATTTACATTTGAATGGTATTTTAAAATGTATTTTTAATGTCTCGTTTTGTGATTAAAGCTTGTACCATCACCAAAGGAACGGAATCCACTAGTTACTGTCTCTGACCTGCAACGTGTTATCCTGAAACCTAATCCCAAAGTATTATCTACACGAGTTACAAATGTCTTAATGTAAGGAACTACTTAAAGTAGTGTTTTACTTGCTTTTATTTTTTCGACAAATTTAAATCGATTTATTCGTGTGTGTGTGTGTGAGAGAGAGGTGGGGGGCTGGGAATGAACACATACCACATCCCATATGTGAGCAGAGGACAACTTTTTGGAATTGGTTCTCTCCTTCCATTTTTATGTGGGTTCTGGGTATCAAACTCAGCAAGGGCTTTAATCCACTGAGCCATCTCTCTGACCCTTTTTTCTTCTGACTTTTAAAATATTTTATTATTTTTATGTGTATGAGTGTATTGCCTGCATGTATGTGAGTGTACCCGTGTCGTGCAATGCTGCGGAGGTCAGAAGAGGGCTTCAGATTCTCCTGGAACTGGAGTTAAGGATGGTTCATAGCTGCCATGTGGGTGCTGGGACTCGAACCTGGGTCCTCTGCAAGAGCAGTCGGTGCTCTTAACCACTGAGCCATCTCTCCAGCCCCGCTTACTTCTAACTTTTAAAGTTGTATATCCTTTCCATTGAAAAAGTGAAATCTACAGAAAAGTTTAAAAATAAAAATAATGTAATTTATTTTGATCTGGGTAGCTCATTCAACTCCCAACTTATTAATAATTCTGTCATTAGAGATGACCACTGATAACATACTGAGTGATTTGGTTGTTATGGTTGTGATTGTTATTGTTATTGCTTAGTGATATTTTTCTTTTTTAAAATTTTTATATTATTAAAATAAGTGTTTGCCTGCCTATATATAAGTACACCACATGTGTGCAGTGCCCTAGGAGACCAGAAGAGGGCATTGGATCCCCTGGAACTGGAGTAATGGATGGTTGTTATGCTGCCATCAGCATCTGCTACTATTTTTTTTAATATTTATTATTATTATTTTTAATGTGTATGAGTGTATTCCTGCATGTGTGTAAGTGCACCCATGTCATGCAATCCCCACAGAGGTCAGAAGAAGGCGATGAATTCCCCTGGAACTGGAGTTGCAGACAGTTGTTAGCTGCCATGTAGGTTCTAGGAATTGAACCCAGGTACTCTGCAAGAACATCCAGTGCTCTTAACTGCTGAGTCATCTCTCTAGCCCCCTGTTGCTATTTTTTTTTCTTTTTAATGTAGCAAAAGAACTACTTTCTAGGAATTTGCCTACAAAAAATGAAATCTTAGCTGGGCATGGTAGCGCACACCTTTAATCCCAGCACTCGAGAGGCAGAGGCAGATGGATCTCTGTGAGTTCAAGGCCAGCCTGGTCTACATAGTGAGTTCCAGGACAGCTGGGGCTACAGGGAGACCCTGTCTCAAAAAGGCCAAAAAAAAAAAAAAAAAAAAAAAAATTTAAGTCTTTGTTTTGGGAAAAGTGTTGAAATCTAGAAAGTTCTAATTTCTACATCTTTATTTCTCAGTACTCCTGGTAAAAACCAGATTGATCTGCGGAAGCTGCTTAGAAAAGTTGATGTAGAAAGGTAATACAGTCTCTTTATGCTTTTTAAAAAGATTTATTTATTTTTATTTTATGTATATGGGTGTTTTGCCTACATGTATGTGAGTACACCATGTACATACAGTGCCCATGGAGGTCAGAAGAGGACATGGGAATCCCCTAGAACGAGAGTCATAGATGGTTGTGAGCCTCCAAATGGGTTTTGGGAACTGAACCCAGGTCCTCTACAAGAGCAGCCAGTGCTCTTAACTGCCAAACCATCTCTCTAGCCCTCATTATGCTTTCTAAATCCATCTGAATGGATGGATTCAGCTCTGATATTTTTCATATCTTTATAGGAGCCCAGGTGGAACTCCTCTTACCAATAAGGAAAACATGGAAACAGGAACTGGACTGACTCCAGTAATGACTCGGGCCTTGAGGAGAAAGTTTCAGGTAAGTCTCTAGGGAATAATTTTAAAACTGAAACTAATTCCTCTAGTTACTTTTCTTGAAAATAATTTCTATAAAGGCTGAGAGTATAGACCTGTATGCCTGAGGGTCTGGCACTGGTGGGAGGAAGAAAAGAAGGGAAAAAGGGAAGGGGAGAGAGAGGGAGAGAAGGTGAGTAGAGAGAGGAGAGAATAAGCCAATTTATTAGAATTACAGTCTAAAATATTTATTTAGGCATAGGGTCTCTCTGTGTACCCCAGGCTCACCTCAAATGCATAATCTTCCTGCCTCTGCCTCCCAAGTTTTAGAATGACAGGTGTGTGCCACTACAATAATTAATAATAATAAGCCAAGCCTGGTGCTACACAACTGTCATTCCAGCACTTGGGAAGTAGAGGCAGGAGGATCCTGAGTTTGAGACCAGTCTGGGATATATAGTTAGTGAAACCCTGAGTTCAGCAATGAGCCTAAAATAAAAATAAAACAAAATTTTAAAAGTCTGTCTTTGGATCTCTGTGAGTTCAAGGCCAGCCTGGTCTACATAGTGAGTTCCAGGCCAACTGGGGCTACAGGGAGACCCTGTCTCAAAACAAACAAACAAAAATTACAGTGACAAAATTAGAAAAAAAAAAAAAAAAAAGTCTGTCTTTTAGTACAGGCCTATCTACTTGTGAGAGTGAGACAGAAAGATTGAAAGTTCAAGTTCAAGGTCTGCCTAGGCTACAGAGTATATTCATGGCCTGGGAAACTTAGTGTGTTTTTATCTCAAAATTGCTTTCAATTTTGAGAGGCTGGAGGTTTAGCTTAGTAGTAGAGCCCTTTACCTAGCATATACAATACCCTAGGTCCAACCTCTAACACTACAGAGGCAAACAAACAAGCCAACAAATACAATAAGAATGATCATTTTTGATGCTGTTTTACAAAGTAATTTATTTGGAATTATTCAATTCTGTGAGGAAAATAAAAAGTGATATAATATATTGCTAAGATTATCATTTCCTCTTTGTCAAATAATGTCCGAATGTTTCATTTCCTTTAGTAAGTATCAAGCACTTCCTATATGATAAGCTGTGTTAAGAGTACCAGGCTCACAGCGGAAAGCTCAACAGGGCCTTTCAATCCAGTAAGGAATATAGACATAATTAAATAACCCATATCTGTTTAATTTTACACTGTAGTAAGTAAGGGCTGTTAAGGAAAGGAGCAAGGTTCTGTGAGACCCATACAGGAACTTGGATCAAACCTGGAAGACCTAGAAATGATTTCCTTAGGTAATGATGTTAGCAGTAACAGCCAAAGGATGAATAGAAATTAACTGGGAAAGGGTTGGCCTACTGAGAGTGTCAGGAAGGAATAAGTTCCAGGCATCATGGCCTATCCAACAAACTGAAAAGTGACTGGTACAGCTGTACCTGGAGAGGGAGCCTGACCATTGAGAAAGACAAGGATGGAGATGGAGAGAGGAGTCATACTGTGCACTGGTAGCAGGAAAGGCAATTTTCTTTATCATTCCCTGCTTAGATAACCCACAGTTCAAGCACATAGATTAGCTGTTCTTGGTCTTGTTTCTTCCATACCTGTTTGTCTTAGTCATCTTTCTGATCTCCTGTATCATTGGATCTGTGAAGAGCAGCTTCTGCCTGCAGTGCTGGAGTGCTAGGACTTAGGGCTACTGGCCTTTGTGGCTTTGAACACTAGTTCCTTCTTTCCCTGGAGCCGAAGTATACCCTAGACTCCTGGGGCAAAGAGAAGAGGCCTTACTGAAGGACTTAACCACTTCCTTCTCTGTTTAGACTAAAAGCCTTGCTGTCCATGTCCTACTTCATATCTAGTACAATGTGTTGGGAACTATGGAAAAAGACAAAAATATGATGATGATAATAAGAAGCTGCCCACATCTTGCACACCAAAAAAATACATATATACATATAATAATCTCTGCCATACGTTGTGCTACCCAAAACTCCACTTACTTTACTAAGAAGATATGTACTAAAAATTGTTAAACAAAGAATGGTATTTCTCTCTCAGATTTTTTTTGGTCTTTTTGAGACAGGGTCTCCCTGTATATCAGACTAGCCAGATCCACCTGCCTCTGCTTCTCCAGTGCTGGGATTAAAGGTGTGCACCACCTGGCCTCTCAGCTTTTATGCTTCCTTTAACTCTGAAACAAGTCTCTCACTTAGATTTTACATCTACCTAAAGGTGACAGTAATTTGAATCAAAGAGCAGTTCATTTTTTCTTTTTAATAATAAGAGTCTCAAGCTGCTAAGTAGCTGAGACTAGCCTTGAAGTCCCCATCCTCTGCCTCTGCCTCCCAAATCCTGGGATTAACGGCATGTGCTGTCAGGCCCAATTTTTACATTACATTACCTAAACATTCTTTGGGGAACTAGAAGTCCACAGCTAGTCCAGTGGTTTCATCATGTCATTTGTGTTCATCCACCTTTTATTTTTATATAGTTTTTGTTTGTTTGTTTTCAAACCAGAATGTAAGTTACCCCTCATGTTGTTTGGGTTTCCCTAAAGCCCCAGCTGGCCTGGAACTCACTATGTAGACCAGGCTGACCTTGAACTCACAGAGATCCATCTGCCTCTACCTTCCAAGTGCTGGGATTAAAGGTGAGCGCCACCACTTCCCCTCATGTCTTTAAGGAAGCTCATCTACCATCTAGTAACTTCTGGTTACATCAGGACAGCTAGGAAAAATAGCTAGGAATGCAATGTTGCCTTAAAAGCCAACAAGATTTGTTTTGTTAATAAGAAAGACTTGTGTTGGTCCCAGGACATAATTCATACTCTAACTGTGCTTTCTTTTTCACAGCTGGCTCACCCTCAAAGCCCTACTCAAACTCTACCACTTTCTACAAGCAGCTTTGATGAACAAAACTGATGTCAATTCAGGCTGACATCCATACAATAGACAGAGAAAATCACCCAGATGTTTTCTTAATGTACTAGAGTATGGATAACCATGCTAATGTTAATTCTACTTGAAGAATCAGTATGTACAGAGCCTTCATGTACTGTGGTGTAAAGTATTTAGATATTTTCTGGTTTTCATAATGGTAAGAAAACCAGATGGGAAAATGCAATCTGCAAAGTGATATTTATCCTGGAATTACCCAATTTAGGTTACAGAGGTTGTTCAGATTTGACTATATAGGAGCCAGCAAGATGGCTCAGTAGGTAAAGGCACTTGCCTACCGCTAAGCCTGAGGACTGGATTTCAATCCCCAGGACCCAAATGGTGGAAGGAGAAAACTGACTCCCACGGGTTGTCCTCTGATTTCCACACATGCACCATGACATGTGACTACCACACACACAAATAAAATTAAAAATATTTTTTCAACTATATAGTTCATTTATATTATATAGTTGTAGTTATGACATTAAGGAAATAGTCCAGGGGATGGAGAGAGGGCTCAGCAGTTAAGAGCAAATACTGCTCTTGCAAAGGACCTGAGTTCAGTTTCTAGCACCCACATCAGAGGCCTCACAACTGCCTGTAACTCCAGCTCCAGGGTATCCAACTCCCTCTTCTGGCTTCTAAGGGCACCTGCACACATACATAAATAGAAATATAAAATTAAAAGAAAGAAAAAATCTGATTCCTGTTTGTCTCTGGTAACTGATTTAAAAAAAATAGTTCAACCTGTAAGGCTAATGCATTAATTGATACAAACTTGATCCATTAAAAAAAAAATGCCCCTCTAATCCCAGTACTTGGAAACTCCCTCTTCTGGCTTCTAAGGGCACCTGCACACATACATAAATAGAAATATAAAATTAAAAGAAAGAAAAAATCTGATTCCTGTTTGTCTCTGGTAACTGATTTAAAAAAAATAGTTCAACCTGTAAGGCTAATGCATTAATTGATACAAACTTGATCCATTAAAAAAAAAATGCCCCTCTAATCCCAGTACTTGGAAAGGCAGAG